AAAGAATAAATAAAATGATTTTTTTCTAAATCTTTTTCAATTGTTAAACGTCTTGAATATTCAACATTATTTAAAATATTTAAATTTAATTTTTTTTCTTCATTTTCTTGTTGTTTACTTTGTAAACGTTCATGTAATTGTTTATATATATCTAAATGTTCATCAAATATTTTTAAAATTTTTCCTTTTAATGTATTAAAACGAAATAATTTTTTTTCAGTTGACGATTTTCCCATTAATGCAAATAAATCTCCTGTTTGATTAAATTCTAATGCTATTGGAATTAATTTTCTTTTAACTAATTCAAATAAATCAGTATCTAATTTTGATTTAAATAATATTTTTTTTACCTTAGTTGATGATTTTGATTTTTCATCTTGTTGTTCTATTTAAACAAAATAATAAATATAATAAATATAATAAATAATTATTTAAAAATCCAACCTAATCCCCATAATTTAATTGTTTTATCAAAAGAAGCCGAACAAAAAAATGATTTTTGTAAAGCTAATGTTTCAACTGTTCCTTGATGTCCTTTACAAGTTATTAATGATTGAACATTATTTTTATTTTGATCATATTTCCATATTAATATTGTTTGATCATGAGATCCACTTATAAATTCATGTTCACCTTCATCTTAAATATAAATAAAAATATATTTTAATATTATTTATCTATAAATGTTAATATAATAATAATACCTGAATAAATAAAAGCAAGTGATTTAACAGGAGCAGTATGTCCTGGAAGACTAATTATATGTTCTCCTTGATTATTCCATAAATGAACTTTGGTATCATAACAAGCAACTAATATTGAATCACCTAATGATCTACAATTCGATACCCAATCATCATGCATTAATGCATCTTCTGGTTGTGGACCTTGAAATTTTTCAATATATTCAATTGAAATAATTGATTCAATTAATGATTCATCTTTTTCTTTTATATGTTCTTCTAATGATGAACGAATTAATTTATTAAAACATAAAAAATCAAATGAAATACGAGATAATTCATTTGAAGAT